TGGAAGTCCCATTTGACCCAGCTATTCCCCTGGTGGGTATCTTCCCCAAAGAATTAAAGAATCATACCACAGTGATATATATGTACCCATGTTCACAGCAGCACAGTTTGTGATAGCTAAAACTTGGAAACAGCCCAAATGTCCATTAACTGCAGAATGGATGAAGAAAATGTGTTTTTTTTAATAAAATGGAGTACTACAGCCATAAAAAACCAAGAAATTAGAGACATTTATAGCTAAATGGATACACATTGAGGTGAAACTCTTAAGTGAAATAAATAGCACACACGTGTAAATACTGAATAGTTTCTCTAGTGTGAGAAACTGGAAGTGTAAATAAGGACTAAAAGCTATAAGAGATAATGTGAAATAGGAAGAAAAGAGGCAAAGGGGAGGGGGAAGTGGGAGGGGCAGGGGAAAGGAAAGAAGGGAACGGAATTAATATGAGAAAATGAAAGAATGGAAACAAAGTCTTTGTAAATAGGGAGGGATGGAGGGGTTGAAGGGAGGGGAGGTGAATGGGGAAAAAATAAGAACCAAGAGAGGTGCAAATTTCCAATGATGAATGTCATTATATTGCATACCTAAATGTACCAATAAAATCAAGTTTTTAAAAAAATTCTATTTCCATATACCAGCAATAAATAACTGTAGTGTAAAAAAATTTTTAAATTTTTAGCAATAGATCAAACAGTAGAATATCTAAAGATCATTTTAATGGAAGATGTGTAAGTCCCATGTATACTGAAAACTACAAAACTTGGCTGCAAGGAATTAAAGACCTATATAAATGGAAAGAAGTACTAGGTTCATGCACTAGGGGTCTCAAAGATGCTGGCATTCCGTGTTCCCTAAATTGGCTTTTACACTTAATATTTTTCACTCAAAATTCCACTGTGCTTTTTTTGTGGAAAATGACAACTGACTTTTCAATTTTATGCAGGTATATCAGTCAGCTTTCCTGTTGATTGGACCAAACATCCAACACACACAACCTAAAGGAATAAATGGTTTATTTGACTCAGAAGTTTTAGTCCATGCTCAGCTATCTCCAAGGCAGAAACCTCCTAGTAAGCAGAGCAGGGGAACAGAGCCAGAGAGGAAGGGGCCATGCCTCCATGACCTACTTACACACACCCATAAAAAAGTTTTACTAATCCCCTAAGCAGCTCCCAAACCAATGAAATTGACAAACTTAGCCATCACAGAGAGGATCAGACCAAAAATGCCCAATGCTTTCTTGAAGGAAAAAATATGAAAGGGCTTGCACATATAATTTCAAAACTGGCTGTAAAGCTACAGTAATAGATGCAGTGTAGTACTGGTATAGGAGACAAATAGAAGAAAACAGTTCAGAAGTAGGCCTATTCTTATACACTTAGCTGACTTTTGAAAAATCTTTCCAAAGAAATTGAGTTGGAAAGAAAAATATTTTCAACAAATGATGGTGTAATAAGACAACTGTGTAGTTCTACAAAAATGAATGAATCTCAACCCTGACCTCACACCATGCCCAAGAACTGATTTGAGATAGGTTTTAGACTCAAAATGACAGCTAAAACTATGAACCCTTGAAAAGGATATTTAATAATAACTTTATGATCTTAAAAAAGGCAAAAGTTTGTTAGGTTTACTTATAGAGAAAAAAAACAAAGAAAAACGATATCCTGAATTTACAAGTAAAAATTACAAATGATATAAAAAGCTTCTTTTCAGCAAAGTGATGACATCACATTAAGTAAATGAACAGGCACATCACACACTAGAAGGACATCCACAGTACAGATATCTGACAGGAATCTTAAATGTAGGACTTATATATGACTACTATAGCTTAATAATGAAAAGACAAACATCCATAGAAAAATGAGTCAGAATATTTGGAAAGACACTTCACAAGAGAAGAATGACTAGTAAACACATTAAAAAGTGCTCAAAATTATTCATCAGGTAAGTAACTATAGCCACAATAAGGTATTAATATACATATTAGAATGGTTAAAATTTAAAAGACTGAAAATACTAAATGTTAGAGAGGAAGTGGAGTGGCCAAAACACTTGGACATTGTTGGAGATTATAAAATGATACAGTTGCTTTCAAGAAATATTTGTCACTTTTTTTAAATCAACTTAGCCTATATTTCTTTGCCCTATGATCCAGCAACTCCATGACTCAGGAGAAATGGAGCAAGTCCACTGAAGGACTGAGGTCAGAATGTTGATATCAACTTTTTTTCATGTAGGTCAGAAACCTGGAGTAACCTGGGTGTTCATCAATAGGAAAATGTAAATTATGTAAATTATATATGAGTCATTCAATGGAGTACTACTTGACAATGAAAAAGATCAAATTATTGATACATGCATGAAATCTGATAAATCTCAAAAACAGACTGAAAGAATCTAGGCACAAAGTAATGCACACTGTATGGCTGCATATATATGAAATCCAAGAAGAGTCAAAACTAATCAAGAGATGAGAACCAAAATGTTAGAACAGAACAAAATGTCAGAAAGCCTCTGGAGGGAGAGGACTGACTGGGAAAGGAACAAAGGACTTTCTAGAAGGATAAAATCTCTACCACAAATCCTACTGACAGACCTGGCAAAATGAATCCATTTCTTAGCTTGAAACGTGGGTATCAATATTTTTACAGTCTCTCCCTACTTTATATACTAGGTGTTCTGATGCACAGTTAAGACCTGAAAAAGCATTTTTCAATAAAGACTTAGAATCTCTAAATTTTGTCACCAAGCAATAATTTGTCTTTAATTTTACAAATGCGAACTATAAAATATGCCCATTGGAAGTAGATTTCATTATGTAAATTTAAAATGAAACAACAAACACTACTATTAGATTGTATCAAAATAAATGTAAAAAATGTCTCTCAGCACTAAAGTATTTTTCTCTGAATAAACTTGTATGCTTGCTGGTTGAATGAGGAATGTGTAACTACTATGTGTCTAATTTTGCCTTGGCTGCCAAGAAGTTCAAAACCAAATTCAGCACTCAGTTTAGTGATTAACATCCCACCTGCCTGATACATCAATTTTTCTTGGACAGAAGGTGTAAAAGGTGAGGGTATTAAATTATCCTGTTTCATACTGTAAACTACTTCAAATCACTTGAGATAAATGATGGTATATAAATCATATAAAATGTTGGCCATTTTGACAAAACTAAATATTTTTGTCTAGATACATATTGTATGCCTCTCTTTATCAAAAATGTTAGATTTAGAAGGATTTTTGCTGCTGCTTGAATGAGTCATCTGCAAAAGGTGAATCACTATCCAAATGATCAAATGATGCAAAAAATGTATCATTTAAAAATACAACCTACTGACAGGAAAACACTTCACTGATATTTGACTGTAAAGGTTAGACTTGAGGAACCAATGTAAAAGTATAGAATATGGATGTTAAGAGTCCCTAATGGATCATAGATGGCATAAGAAAATTAAGTGCACTTCATTTCATTCTTTGGATAAAGAAAGTAATCAGATCTGTACGCAAATGTGCTCACTGCTATTCTGTTTCTGTAATAACTGGTGTTGGCTGCTTTGATTTTATCAGCTTGATAGGATGTTTTCTATCTGTTCTCCTTTAACAAAACCATACAACCTTGGCCCTCAGGAAAAAATAAAATGTCTTCATTCCCAAAGGGCATATTCTAATGTAACATTAAGGGAAAAATATCAACAACAACCCTCTCACCTGAGCTAATTCATTGTTCATCAACCCAATCAGCTTGTCTTCTTTTTGTCCTTTTCTCCAGGTTGCAAAGGACTCAGCACTTCTCTCAGTGTGGACTTCTCCTTTTAACTTATTTTGTATCTGATCAACTTGTCTTGCTGCAGCCTTTCTTGAATCAACCTGCTCAAAGAAGGTAGAAATATATAATGAAAAATTCTGACATTTCTTTAAAAGAATGCATTCATGTCCAGATTCTTGAAAACCCTAAACTTCCCAAGCTTTAGCAAACAAGAAAAAAGGAACTCAACAATGGACATTATAAAAAAAAATACAGGAGTTGGAAAGATGCAGATCCTTTCTCATCACTGGGACAAGACCAATTAAAACTAGTGACACTGTTATATACTCTTTAGGAATTATCTTTACAGATACCTTGCTTACTGAAAACAACATTTGTACAGAAAACTGTCACTTTTAAAACTGTACATGAATTCATTATTAACCTTTGCTGGAAGTGGATTCAGTATATCTTTGTACTTTAAATTCTTATTAATTAAAATTGTAGTTTTCAGTCACTGAAGGGAGTCTAATTAATGTGAAAGTATTAAAGGAGCTTAAGATGTTGCTTACTTTTTGTGCAGGTAGTTTAACCTTTGAGCAAGAAAAGTAACAGATCATGTCAACTAGTACTGTGTAGCAGTACTCAAGGTTAATTTCTACAACAAGCTTGCTGTCTCTAAGGGTTTTTTTTCCTCCCCACACCATGGTGTTATCTGGGTGGTGACTGATTTTCAGTAACCTCGAAGAGACACAGAAACAGGAGGGCAGAGCTTACAATACAGTTGAGAAACTGAAAGCTACAGTGAAGGTCCTTGTATGAAGTATTTGCTCAGCAGCTCCATGTTTACAGCAGCTGAAAGTGTCATCACCCTTTTTCATGGGTTAAATAGGGAGCTGAAGACATGAACAGCACAAGGGGAAATAATGGAGTAGCCAGTGCCAAAATAGAGAATAAATTACATTGGCTGGGCAAACAGACCCTTAATTTGTAGTCTCTCAATTTTTAGGTTCTACTGCCAACTGTGTTCATTCCTTCCCTTGAAAATATGCTGGTGTTTTGTGGCTAGGTCTAAGTTGTGACAACACTATTCTTTCCTCCTCCCGCATATCAGCTTATCAAAGAATGGCAAACCACTGCCTTTCAGTAGGTTGCAAATTCAAAATGTTTCCTAATTGTTCAAGGATTCTTTATTTTTACCACTCATTCCTTGCAAACTACTGGGAAAATTGATGGGTCACCATTTTCTGAGCCACTCTTCCAATGAAGTCATTTTAGGAATAAACGTACATCACACCACTAGTGTAAATCAAAGACTCTCCCAAAGTTGGTGCTATTTTAGCCTTTTAAAACTGCCTTAGCAATCACTGTGAAAATATGCTATGTAATATAAAGGATTAGTTGAGATTCTCCTCCATTTTTATTGAGATGTAAAAGACAAAAATTATACAAAGTTCACAAAATGTTAAAGACAAGGTCTGGCTCTGTAGTTCAGGCTGGCCTTGAACTCATTGTGTAGCTCAGGCTGGCCTTGAACTCACAGCAATCCTCCTGCTGCAGCCTCCTGAGTGCTGGGATTACAGGTGTGTGCCATCATGCCTGGCTAAAAAATATTTCTAAATATGTTATATATTATGAAATGATCACCACAATCAAGTTAAGTAACACATCCATCACCATTTTTGTGTGTGGTAAAAACACAACATCTATTCTCTTAGCAGATTTCAAGTATATAAATACAGTATTAACTAAAGCCATGATGATGTATATTAGATTCCTAACTGATTCAACTTATAATTGAAAGTTTCTGTGCTCTGATCAATATCTCTCTATTCTCCCAACCCTCAGTCTCTGACAACTATTGTTCTATGCTCTGCCTTCTATGAGCTTGATTTTTTTTTTTTTTTTTAGATTCCACATATAAATGATACCATAGAGTTATTTGTCTTTCCCTCCCTGGCTTATTTCGGTTAGCATAATATCCTCATTATCCATTCATTCATCAATGGGCAATATGTTCTTTCCATATCTAGCTATTGTAAATTATACTGAAATAAACATAGGGGTGCAGTGATCTCTTACGTATCATAACTTCATTTCCTTTGGGTATATACTCAGAAGTGAGACTACTGGACTATACAGTAGTTCTAGTTTTAGTTGAGATATGATTGAGGTTTTTAGTGCCTCCTGTATGCTAAACATTTAAGGTACCAATTTTTGCCTGGGGCACCTTTGGCATAATATATTCAGGCTTTTGTAATGCTTCCTGGAAGAGATGATGCTTCCTGGATCTGCTGTCAGTTGGCCAGATAGCTGAGTTACACTGCCATGGGCACTTTAGGTAATAAACAAAATGATACCTAGTTCATGGAAAGTTTCTATATTTAGGTAAACTTGTAAAAGAAAAAGTAAGGTGATTAAGTCTACTTCTTAATTGTAAACAGAGTGCAACTTTCTTTTTCCCATAGATACAACACTCCAGGCATCCCACATAATCAAGCAGAAGGATACTATTCAAATATGTGTCATTTTCATGAAAAGTAGCTATTCAAGTGAAGTAGCTTTTATGTAGTTTCCAATGGAGCATCACACTAATCTGGACTCCTAAAAAAATAAACTAAAATATGCTTCTAATCCAGAATATGTATTCCACTTTCCTCATATACAGAAAATAAACAGGAAGGTAAGTAGAATTAGTCTGAGAATTAAAGTTCAAGAAAGAATTCTGTACACAGGTAAGTTCTATATAAAGATTACCAGTACCAGCAATCTATTCATCCATGGATTTGCTGAGAAATTCAGATTTAGGGTGAATAGAGAAACTAACATTTATTGTCTGAAATGTAGTATAGCTTGAAGATTAGGTAAAGCATTTAGGAAGGATAAGTGACTCATTATGTCCAAATGTCTACACTATTACAATATGGATTCAAGCACCATAATAAGGGACACAGTGATAAAACTGATAAATGATCTATGGCCCTTAAAGAAGTAGTTTATTTGAGTGAATTGTGGCCTTCAAGCTATTTTCCAACTTGGCTTTAACATTCTCATCTAAGAATTCTAGAGCTTTAGCTCACCTCAATAAGCATTCTTACTAAAATATGGTTTTCTTCATTGGAATTTGGACACTGAATCCCAGTAAGGGGCTGGAGATACAGCTCAAGTGTTCAAGTGGCAGAGTATGTGCTTAGCAGGCACAAGGCCTGGGTTAAATTCCCAGCACCACCATCACCAAGAACAATAAAAACTCACTGAATGGCACAGATAGACTGTGTTGGCCCTGATAGCAGAGTCTTTTAATTTGATTGACAGTGCAACTACAGGAGCGGCCAGAACTACTAGCAACTGACTTCAGTTATATATACCATTATTTTCATTGAGACACATACCCCAAAATATTTGCTACTCAATGAAAAAAATCAGTGTTTCTATAATATTGATGAAAATTCATTTCCAATTAGCTCCAGTAACAGTATTTAAGGACTTCAAAAGGAGGACTCATTTTACTGAGATCAGTTCATGATGCCTAGTGAAATCTCTTATTAGAAGAATGCCTCATTTTTTTTTGCAAAATGATGCTTTACTTTTGCTGAGATTCTTATGGTGGTGTGCTTCTCTCTAATACCTAACACAAATATATTTTTGTTAACAATACCAAATTTCCCTCAGTGTTTCACTTATACTGAGATAAACAACATTTTAAAAAATTAAATATTCATAACTTTTTTCTTCTGAAACATTTTATTTATATCTATACAGTTTTTCTTGGTCTCAAAGCTTCTTTTTCAGTATCTTTGTCCAACAAAATAAGTTCAGAATTCACTCACTAGTCCGTTGAATAACTAAAGTGATTCCCACACTGTAACAAGCAATGTTTTTAATTACTGGTAAGAGTTTGAGACTAAACAGAAATTTGGGGCCAGGTAGTTGATACTCATTGTGGACTTTAACTTATTATTTAACAGAAGCAATCTACTATGGAAATCATTATATAATTGCATCATTCAGGGGAAACTGAGTATAGGATAGTTTATATTGTCATACTATGCTTTTGAACATTTTCAGATTCAATTTTTGCAGTATTATAAATTCTGTACATTTTACAAATAAAAATTAAAAGATATTTAAAAGTGTAGCCACACAATGTGAAGCTGTATTTTATAGTCATTATTAAATATATATATGCATTTATAACAATAAAAAAATCAAGTCATTAATAAACACCGATCTAGTGTGAAATGTATTTTACTATCTATACATCTAGGTTGATCACATTATTAACAGAAACAAAGTTCTTAAAAATGCATATTACTCTTAAGTGTTTTCTTTTTACTTTTAACCAAAGTGTTCTAATCAAAAGTAATAAAATATTTTTGATGGAAGTTCATTGAAAAAATGCTTTATGTTCTATTCTCTGCATATTAAAATGGCTCTACAGCCAACACCCTTCAAATTTGATGAAACTGAAAATTCTAGTAGATAATAATTAGAATTTTATAGGAATGGATATAGTTACTGGTTTTTTAAATGGCTTCTTTTATATTTCAATTAAGTTTATGAAACTGAAAAACTACAAAAAAAAGAGAAAGAATCTATTTAAATTAGTGTAGATTAAGTGGTGACCATTACTGCAAGGGAAATACTATGTCAAGGAAATGGCTCTTTGTTTTGTTGGAAAAGTGATAAAAATACAAAAGTCAATAAAACTGTTACAGTAAGTCTCAGTAATTACTAAGATCAAAATCCAGTGGCTTTTTATTAAACATGAACTTTTGTTCTGCCTTCTGCAATACGTAAATAGTGCTGACAATTGGTTTGTGAGGCACTTGCTACAATAAAATGTAATTGTATCATGAGAGAAAGGTGACAATCAGGAGATCATGAAAAAATTACATATTCTCACTGGTAGTTAATTAGCCATGCAAAACCTCCTCAAACAGATATTCTCTTCTATTAGGAATGATTACTATGCAGGCCTACAGATGTCAATACCACAGTCATTCAAATACTTCTTTTCCTACTAATTGAAGGTTGTAAAGCTCTGGTGCCAAGGTTTTGCTTCCAAAGAGCTAATTTATGACTAGAAGGATATTTTATGTCTTCAGTTGTGGCAGCTACAAAATTCAGCAAATCAGAACCATCTGTGCACTGATACTTGACTCACCATTCATCTAGCAGCCTATCAGTCACATTAGTTTGCATCCTGCATTCCTGGCTCATGAACATTTGTGATGATCCAAAGTTCATAAGAAATATTAAAAATGAATGGCATCCTGACCCTCCCTTATTGTACATGCATTAGGAAAATATGCCTTCCACATTGCTTATTTTTTTTGCATATGGATAATCAAGGAAAAAATGGACGTTTAGTTGCCTGTCCAATAATGTTGCAAACAGCAGTTTCAGATTTATACCACCTCTTTTAAAAATGTGTGAAGTCCTAATTCTTTGTATTTTTTCTAAGTTCTAATCCTTTTTTTTTTTTTAAGTTGGTGTTAGGGAGTTTGTTGGAAGATAGAAGAATAAAGAAGGAAGTGTGATAGCTTTTCTTAAAAGAATTGCTTCTATAGATTGAAATATCAGCACAAAAAAATAACATCTAGGAATGTTATCCAGCACCAAGTCATGGCCAAACTGGCAGGCAAAAACAGAAGGCAATAATTGAAGAAACCCAAAAGAAAAGAAGTAAATAAAGCTCTCTTGAATCAAATCAGATTAACCCTTTAACTTTACCTAGTTACAGACTGAGAACATTAGTAACCATGTTATTTCTTTAACAGTACACAGTAGGCCAGAGACCCTACTCTTTGAGAGACAATGAGTCAAAAGAACTTTCAACATGTCTTTCTGGTGCTGAGTTAGTAGAAATGAAAATTAAATATAATGAAGAGAAACTGAGTTGTGTGACTCATTACAACTTCATTTATGGAAAAGTTTCACAGAAGGTAATAATACAGGATCCCAGGGATTATGTTACTTACTTTTTGATTGGTTGGAGTATGTACATTTACACTCTGTCCATTAATGGAAAATTCCAGTGGTCCTAAAGGTATTCCACTTGGGTTTAGAATTTTCTTCAGCCTTTCATAGTTTGGCTTTTCATCATAAGCTAAACTATGAACACATGACAAAAACTGGGCTATTTCACCTGTGAAGTATTAAATTTTTACATGTCATTCATAATTGGCAAGAATTATCAAAACTCTAATAGCTTTAAAAATCTGTTTTCTGTTCTCTCATGCCTGCATCCTGAATAAACTAAAAATGAACAGTTCAACTAAAAGCACTTTAAAAATGACAAATACAGTGACCTACAGTTTTGACAATATGGGACAAATTGGTGATTTTAACATACAAGTTGATATATTTACAATGAACTTATCTTAGGGAAGGAAGCAAACATTAATAATTATAGTTAGTGATTTTGATTTATGAGGTGCAGCTACTAAGGACTACACAAAAATATAATAGATCAGACATGCTTCAGACATATTTTTTCTTCAACTTTAAAAAATTCAGTTAAAAACAATTGTTACTTATAAATCTGACTGCAAAGGGGGAAAAATCATTGAAAATTTTAAGTAAGGTTTTCATTTTAACATTACAATAGTACGTTTAGTAATGTCTTTGATTTCCATGGTTTTAGCTCTTCTTAACTTCAGAATGCACAACTTTCCTCAAGTGTAGACCTAGCTGGCCCTGTGAGATTACAGCATATTCTTAATTTTAATTCAGGAGGATGAATAGTTATCACCTTTAAGTTTTTCTCTAATGTTTCACTAGAATGGAAATGGACTACTAGCTTTAGTTTTGAATTTTAATTTTTGTGGTGCTGGAGATAAAACCAAAGCCTTCAAGCATGCCAAGCAAGTGCTCTACCATTGAGTCACATGCTCCCCCTAAGCCTACCAGCTTTTAAATACAAGTAGAATTAGTAACTGAAAGTTATAAACAGCTTCAGTGAAATGTTTTTGAGTTTTTGTTTCAGGTAGAGGTTCAATATAAAATTAAGACAGAAGAGTAGCAATACTATGTTCAACCTAAAATTATGATAGAAGAGCAGTAAAACTATGTGTAAAATTTGGCCAGTTTCCATTTGTTCTATTTGTTTAGATATCCCTGTCCCTTCAAGAATGTATTGTTGACAAGTTCCTCTTACTTTCTCACTTAATTGTTTATATCCCATAGTGGGAGAAATCCAGGAAGCTCCATGAGTTGGCAGGAATGCTTTCCTAGTAAGCCTTCCCTTCCCCTCCAGGACTACCTCCATTCAAACGGAGGACTGCAGGGGTACTGCATTTCACTCCCTATGGGGAAAAATTCCAACAGGAATGATCAGCATCCCCTTTCTCCCTGTTAAAATCAAACTGACCATTTTACCCTATAGAGTCCAAAGCTATTTTCTAGAAACATTAGAAACATAAAGCTAATGATAAAATGAAAATTCTTGGCTCTGGGCTTTTTCTTCCCCAACACAATGTAACAATCAAGCAACCTACTTTTTTCCTCTCTAATTTATGAGACATATCAAACTCTGTTATCTAGCATTCAGTCAACCAAATCTTCGTGAACTAGCAACTGCTGATACTTTATCATCACGTTTATAACTGATGTTTCCTCGAATCCCTGGGGGGCATACAATTCCTGAAGGGATAATCAAAAAGAAAAAAAGATTATATTCACTACCATTGTAATATAAATATCCTGTTGCTCTTTGGTTTTAGGAAGACTGGTAAGCCCAGTTTGATGTTTATTACAATTCTATTAACCAGAATATCCTAAATGAAGGAGAGAGCTGAGTTTGTTGAGAACCAATCATTGTTGTATGATAGTGGAAAACTTCTGGCACTCCACCAGCTGATAGGAACTGTGCTGCAAAGCCTTCATGGGACAGAGGTTTGGAAAAATGAGGTACCAGTGAGACATGAGAAGTAGAAAATGAAAATGAAATTATAAATTTATTATTATAAATCTGAAGCTTAGACTATTGTGGTGTGGTACAGTTTTAAATGTTAGCCTTTCAAAATCTGGATTTATTATATTGAGTACATTTTTAAAAATTTACTAGCATATTTCCCAAACTATAAAACAAACTGCTTTGAGTACTGTGAAATTATGATATTCTTGAATCATGTGCTTTTTAAGCTAGTGAAATATTAAGTATCATTAGTATCATTTCAAGAGATAAAAACTTTTGAAATTATTATTACATTGAGTTGGACATGCATGCTGCAGACTCCCTGGTTGTTGCATTTTATAAAATATCTTAGTAATAAACCTTCTGCAAATCAGTTCCTTTAATTAACTTAAACTTAAGAGAACTTCATTTCTTATTAAAGTTTCAATATCTTGTGCTTCAGAAATAGAAATGTGCATTTTATAAGTAACAGCATAAACTCAAATAAATGGTTTGCACTAAGAAAGAGGAAACAGGTGTGCCTCTGATCTACATTTTTCATATGACTCAAATCTTAACTTTGAGATTAATGATAGATGCATCGCAGTATATACATTGGCCCACAAGCATTTATTTTGTACAATACAGGACAACTCGGCTTTCTATTCTACTCCTAAACCAGTTATCTTTTGTACAGGGAGAACAAGAAAACTGAGAGAGATATAGAACTTGAAAAAGAAATAACATTTCTCCCACCTCTCTTTCTTGCTGTCCCACTAAATAAAACAAACAAATGACTTGGTAAAAATGCTAATAAGAATATTAGACAAAAAAAAGGAATATTTTCATTTTGGCCAGATTATTTAAGGCAGTTATAAAAACAAAAATTTTCATCTTCCAATGCTTCTCTCTGAATAAATCTCTTGCTTGGTACCCTCCATCAAAAGAAAAGTACCACAGGAAGGGGAAACAGACTATGGGATTTACAAAGGTAAAGTGGAAAGTATTACTGGGTTGTTCCTCTTTCATTACCTTCACTGATGAAAATTTTGGTTTCTGGTCCAAAAAGGGCTGTAAATATAAGTTTTAAGAAAACTACTTTTCAACTTGGAAACGGACACTTGGGCTATCTAACCTTGACTATAGGGTCAGTGCATATATCTATTTTCAGAAGTCAGTGAAAAGCTAACCTTGAGGTTGCCCAGTTTAAGCAGAGACTAAGATTCACTCTGCTAATCTGTTTCTGACAAAATGCAACTCTGATGACAGAGCTAGCTGACTCTTCCCTATACGACAATTACTAATGAGTGCTGAATAATATATCATAGATGCATATACAAATCACAGGAACTTGGGTAATTCTAAGCTGACTTACTATTTTATATTGATAATATTATCATTTAAAGAATTCCAAAAAGTTCTATACAAACTTGAATGAGAAAACCATTTATGAAATATACCTCCAAATACCAAGATCAGACTCTTCTACTAAAAAAAAAAATAAAAGTGCTGTCTGTTCAATTATAGAGCAACTCAAGTGTGTGAAGTGTTTAATGATTTGGTTTTTTAAATTTTTGATTTTTTTAGGCCCACTTCTTTCAACAATAGAGGAACAAAACCAGAAAGTCTTAATTATAGAAATACCAGATGCAGTTGAATATTAAGCTTGTGTATGATTCTTAAAATATGTATCTTAAATAAGTGCAATCAGCAGAGCCTAGAGCAACACATATATTGATTGTTATAGGATTGTTGTATTCTAATGTCAAAGATGATCTAAACATTTTCTCTCTAGCAACCTATCTGTAACCCTGAAGAGTTTCCTTCTACTGTGGGAATAGGAGTGGATGGGTTAAGCAAAAGCTACAAAACCAGAGTGACAAATGTGGTGGCCTATAAATGTGAGGGAAAGTAGATGTTATCATTTGACTTACAGCAACTGCTTCCAGACGGAGCCCACTTAAGCACTGACTCAGGAAGCTCATCCAACAGGCTGAAACAAAATGGAGTAACACACAATGAATTTGTTTTCAATCCCACAATTCGCTGTTTTAATTAGGAAACAAGACTCTAACTCTGTGTTGATAGATCACCAAAACTGGGCCTTTCAATGCTTTTTATTTCCACTTACCTATAATAGATGGGAGGATAAATAAAAGTGGAAGAAATGCCATAATTCCCATTGACCAATTTTACATGGCCCACCTATGCACTAAGTAATATAGAATTTAATACAAATTTTGTACATGAAGAAATGTAGAAGTAGGAAATTGGTCATGATCATTTCTTAAGAGCAACAAAAAAAACCATTCAAAAATTTTATCTGGATTTTAAGGATATTGTTTCTCAGATATTTACCACTGGAAAGGGATGAATTATTTAATTATTTATGCATATTTTTCTCCATTGGGTAATGTTTTATGCTAACTTATGATTAAACATGTTAAGAAATATTTTTAAAAATTAAAAATCCATTGTAAGCACTTTTTACTGTCCTAAATACGTACAACTCGTAAAGTTGTCTTAGCCACAAATCTATAAACATCTATCTAAAATTACTGATATAAGTGAATGAGTCACAAAGTTAGGCACAGGTAAAATAACAGTGATGAATGCAATGATCTAAGACCACTCTATGTAAGAGGGGGAAAGGGGTGTAAAAGAAATAAAATGTTATGGTTTAATACGCAATCATGCCCTTAAGGGGAAATTCAGTGTTATACCTTCTCAGTAGATTGAATACATTATGCTCACATACTATATAAAGAGCTTGAAAATGTTGAAAGTTTAAAATTTGGTTTATTTGAATTATAAAGTTGATAATATATTAGATTTTTTATTCTGTAGGTTTTTATTAAACAAATGTAAACAACAAAGGGAGGATACAGTTGACTTATGAAAGCTTTATAATGTATATGGTATCCTATTATACACAAATATACATATGCAGATATACTCAGTATAGATGCCTCCAATTAATACATTTATATATCCATATAATACTAAAATCATTAGTAAGTCTTATTAAAAGAAAAACATGTATATAACCATGAGAACTAAAATGCTAGCCTTTAAATAAAGTACATTATTCAAATTAGGTAAAGTAAGTTGGAAAGTTGGATACCAAGGCTTTGACCTGATGCAAGGTTTGGAGAATGTCAGTTCCATGCGGGTTAATAAGAACACATTAATCACTGTGATAAATAACTGGTTCATTCTAATATAGCCTTATATAAATGTATTAATTTGGGGTAAGGGACCAGGATGATCATGATTCCAAGTAGAGATATGTTTTATACATGTCTTAGTAGTTGTAAATATAATCTGCAGTGCAAATTTTCTTTCTTAAGAACTGATACTATACTGCATTTGAAGATTGTTTTTTATAAATATGTTATCCTCTCTTTTTTCCTTCTGTTGTGACTTATCCTACTTAAAACTTAACCTGTCTTTTCCATTTTTTATATTTGTGGATAACTGCTATTAAGCCTATCTTTGTATATAATGAAACACTTGCTATTCTGTGCTGCTCCAACTAACTTTTTCTTAGGCCTGACCAGTGAAAGAATTGTAAAACAGAAAGATTCTGTTCTAAATCTGACCTAATTCTTAATGCTAATAGAATCTAAGTAGTAAAAATTGAGTGTGGATTATTAAAAATATTTACGTACAAGATTAACTCATATAAAGAGATCATATAAAATTTTTGTTTCTTCCTTAAGAAATAAAATATATCTATGTTGTTCTTAACTGAAAAAATACAAGCCCTATTTGTCCCATTCCACATTGTTCCTTCGCACAGTTAATATCAAACACAGCACACTCAGACTCTATCTACACACTCGTACAATACTAATTTGAAAATACTCTTTCTTGAAAACACTACCACCTAGAATCTAAGTTCTGGAAAACACCCTGTAAAGGAACAGACATTTTGCTTTGTAATAAAGATACATCTAATTTTATAGGTGTTATCTTAAAGGATTTTACGTCTACTCATTTTTTTTTCAAGTTAAATAAATTTGTTTTGTTTGTCATATAGATGAATGACAATCTATTCTGGGATATTAGATCCCTTTAAGATATCCCTTCAGACCTGTTACAATAAATGATGAAATACTTGAAAATCTGTACTTTGTTTTAGCAGTCTGGACAGCCACAGGGTCCTTCAGGTTCTGTTCCCAAGGAAGTTTCCCATATAACCACCGCAACATGCAGTAACCAAGGATTTCAAAGTCACTTCTTCTGGACAGGGCTATAGCAGAAAGCATTAAGGGAGAAAAAGGAGGGATAAGTAAGTTCTAGAAAAATAGAGAAATCTTAGTGAACTACTATTGATGAAATATGAAAAAGCCAAATGGGCAAAGTGTTTTGTTTGTTCAGCTGGAGCAAAACTTAAAACACCCAGGCGTTTGGCCCCAGTCCACAGACAGGCAATGACTTGTTGCTGCTGAAAGTAAGGGTCAGTTTCCTCACCTCCTCCAACTTCATCTTTCCTTAGTCTGGCCTGTCACATGAACTTGATCCCCATGGCCTCTGACATGATCCAGACAACCCATAACCCGGCACCAACACTTTCTCAAAGAGCCAAGCAGTAAAACAAAGAAATAAATGTCTGCAGCTAAATTGCTAACATATGTTCCAGGAAGTCCATGGGGTCTGCATTGGTCATGCAGAGACTCTCTGAGTGCAGACTAAACATTGATGGCCTTTCCTGTTCCACTCACACTGGTGGTAGCATTCGAAGTCAGAAGAATATGACAAAACTGCCATCTAGTGTGCAATCTTAAAAAACAGGTCTGTCTGAAGATTTTTCACTTACATAAAAGTATAATAAAATGTGGACTTGCTTTAGATGCACAGTTCTATAATGTTATAAATACTATGATTAGATGAAAGTGGCACCAAGCTAAAATTCTAGTCTCATACTCTGAATAGAAAATATGAAGGTGAGGCGATGGTTGGGGGGGAGGGTAGGAAGGTGGGAGTCATTAGTGAAGCCAAAAACATGTTCAAAAGAATATTTTCAGGTCCCTATAAATATCACTTATCTCAATTTCTCAGAAGTTTACATATATTTTTAAAATATATAAAAGGCCTCTATGGAAGCTGGGCAGTGACATGTGCCAGTAGTCCCAGGTACTCAGAGAAGGCTGAAGCAGGAGGATTACAAGTTCAACATCAGCCTGCCAACTTAGTGAGACTTTGTCTCAGAAAAAAAAAAAAAAGACTAGGACATACGGTAGCTCAGTGCTAGAGCACCCATGTGTTCAACACACAGTACTACAAAAACAGAAAAAAACTAAAATGCCTTATATCAAAAGATGAACAATGAAACCTCAGAAAAGTGTCAAATATAACTAATACTTGTTAGCAAGTAACTGAAACAATGATTACAACAGCAATATGGTAGCAAATAACCACAAAGTATACTCACTTTTATAACCATTCCAAATTGTTATAAAAACAATAGGCTAGTATTTACATTTCTGCCATTACTTGAATATTCATCTATGTAGGGGCATATAATCTTCTAAAACCAGTATGTGGCAATGAAACCTGGTGTAAACACATATACTATTTTACTATCTTTCATTAAATAAACTCTGAAAGGTCAAACAATGAACTTAAGTTTCTAATTTTAAAAAGCCATCTACTGAAAACAATGATGCCAGCATATTGCCAACTACTTTTGGTTCCCATTCATAAGTTATTATGAAAGTAAAAGACAAGATTAGCTCTTATATATACTTTATCTTAACTGCTTTTAGAGTATTGGATTATTAAAGGCCCTTCAATCTAGTCAAATGCTGCAGTCCCATGGGTGCCGTTTACTTTCTGCACAACTTCAACAATGTCCTAATGCAAGACTTGGCTCTTGAATTAAAATAAAAATATAATTTCTACCATGCTGTTCTATAGTGATTTCTTCAGTAATAAATCTCTCATTAATAATAGAATGGATCCATTTGTACAGATGTGTTCACAAGTCCCTTTTCCATTACAGCAATTCCCTTAAAAAATTTGCATCCTCTAATTTTCAAAAAATGATATTCTGGCACCTGTTTAGATGACATGGGGTACACACAAGAGGCCCTTTGAGGAACAACAATCAGAACTAAAATGGAATGAACCTTCAGAGCCACTTCCCCCTACCCCCCAACTGAGGGATTAATTGATATGAAGCTGTAAGTAATGACAAGTCATTTAGTTTTCTGAAGCCAATTTTTCATAAACTGGTCTTCATTTAAAATAGCCCTCTGAGGGTTAACTTTACTTCACTATTATAGTTTAGACCCATCTAATTAAAATACATTATTGCATCTTGCAGTCTTTTTTTTTACTGCACATATACATTAATAACTATGGTTAAGTAAACATTTTATTACTGTTTCCACTAAGTTCTACAAAAAACACATGTAATGTTAAAAAAGAACATCCAATCATCACCCTTCTTCCCACTAAAGAGTGAGATACAAGCAGAGAAGTGTTTCCTACCAAACAAACTGAAATTCAACTTGTCTTAGAGAAGTTAAATCTTTGACTCTACTCATGTTTATGTCTGCTCTCTACTGTACAGACAACAATAATTCTAATGTCTGTGAATTAACTAAAAGACACTATTCTGGAAGACTATTGGAATCTGTGTGTACCATTCACACAGAGTTGATCACAGCTGAAAAGGAAAATTAACATCTAACTATAAACAAAACTGTTTTGTGGCTGAAGCTGGAGCTCAGTGGTACAGTGCTTGCCTACTGGTAGTATGTATGAAACTCTGGGTTCAATACCAAGCACAGAAAAAAACAAATTTAAAAATCTTTCAATTTGAAAGTTGCTTCTTTCATCATATAATTTTCAAAGTCACTTAAAAACATTCTAAGTAAGGCAATAAATGAGAAGAACCATGTAGTAAGAATCATAGAGTAGAGATCCAGTTCTAACCCTACCATTGTTTTTTCAGCTTTAAAATTCAATAATGCCTAGCCAGGTATGGTGCTGCATGCCTATATTCCCAGCACTCAGGAGGCAGAAGAATCACCTGGAGTTCAAGGCCAGCCTGGTTTACTTAGGCAGTTTAAGACTAGTCGAAACTACTTAGCGAAAGTCTGTCTCAAAAAAAAAAAAAAAAAAAATCAATAAGGTCAGGTAATACATTTTTTACATTTTCATTCATTTGGACAAAAAGTATTCATATATTTGCATAATTTATTGTAATACATAAAGTTCTTCAGTTTCACTTGGTAAGTTATATAATCATTAATAGCAAGTTTCCATATTTTCATAATTTACAATTAATTCAAACTATAACTTACTATTGTTTGGAAATATAGTGAGATTGTCACTAATAAAATTTTTCCTCTAGTCTTTCTGAAATTAGTTTCTAAATATTATTTATTACCTAATTTTTCATTGGCCTTACTAATATGAGCAAGGTAAACTACTCTTTTCATTCAAAGTCTGTGGTGTTCTCAACTGTTCTACATTTCAAAATGATAAAGTATTGCCAAGAGTAACAATAGAAAAGGTACAAGTGAGGTCTTAAATTCTATTTCAGTCATAAGCAGATTCCAGAAATAGCTGACATTAGAATGCAAAATTAAAATACACACAATTGACATGATTTATAGAGAGCTACTAAATTATTTCATTTAATCATTTTAACAGTGTAAGTATTATTAACCATATTGACAAATAAGAAAATAGAAGCTCAGAGAGGTTAATTAACTTGATCAATATCACAGAGCAAAAACTGACAGAGTTCAACACTGAAGTCCAAGACTTTCAGAATCCAATGCCCATGCTAAATCTAATAATTATTTGCATCCATCATTAGTTTTAACATCATTCAAATAACATTATTTATATAACTTTCATAATTAAGGAAATAGCTGAAGCAGGCATTTTAATTTAAAATGGTAACAGACATACTGACACAAAGACACTTCCTTTGACAATTAATAAACAAGCAGCAGATCCTGAGGTCTAAGCTGCATCCTTGACCAAATTTTGCATGCAACTATCCTCTTATGAAACTGTATCTTTCAACCTACTTCATTCTGATGAAGAAGAGTCTTTAGTTAAAATATTTATACAGTGTTAAATGGTCCATTTAGACTTCTTTGAGAACAGAGAAGTCATTTTGGAGAACTGGTTCTTACTCTAAAGAAAAACTGTTGTTAAATTAACTGGGCCCAATTCACCAAAGGGGAATGAAAGAGAAAAAGAGAAGCTTCAGTATTAACCTCTAAATGGATCTGATTATTTGTCTAAAGTACTTTCAGCTTACCTTATTTCTTATATAGAGTAATATTATAGACTATTAAAAAATAAGGATTGCCTCAAGCAGCCAATGTTTAAATGCCCAAAATATGAGTGTATGTGATTAAAATGACAGAAATCAGAAAACATCTGAGTAAGAAGCTCACCTGATAAAGTGAGTAGTAACTATCTTCAGAACAAATTTAAAGTTTTTTTTCCCCAACTGGTACCCTATGTCATTCAATATATTTGTCAATTGGGAAGTGTAAAGACCTAGAAAACATTATAGTGACCACCATTTATTCCAATTTCAAAAAGGATATTAGGAAAGTATATTGCTATGTGTCATACTGCAAATAAAATATTAAAACCAAATCTCTCTTAATGGTACCTTTTAAATTCTGAGCCCTAGGTTTGGGGATGTATGGAACTCAGTGGTACAGCCCTTGCCTAGCATGCACAAGGCTCTTGTTTGGACCTTCAGTGCAGAGGGAAAAAAAACTAAGCCCTAGATCTTTTATGAAACACTACTCTGTGAAGATTAGAAAAGTTATTTAACAGAGAAAAGATATCTTACATTTGGCCACTCTGTACAAACAGTAAATAGTTCTACTAAGCAGCCAAGGTACATGTCAAGATTTTAATAGTCATGTCTAAATGTAAAAAAGAAAAACTATATGCCACATAAAAGAAATAGTCTTTACCACTTATACATTAACCAAGGACTATATTATAGCAGTTCAATTTACCTTAAAGAAGAAAGTAACAGTCTATTTTTCTGACTACTAATGAAATGCACATCATATCAATATTTGATTAATTTTATAATAAAATGTGTTCCCTTCCTTATTATTGTTTGAGACGATAAGTATTGTGGAAACCATGCCATTTCCCTAAGTTTAGTAACAAGAAATACATTTTCAGTTTATTTCACATTTATTTTCAAAGTTGGAGTGCTAAAGTGAAATGAAACCATGCAGAAAATAACACAAGACTTGGATTTCATATACTGCAGCAATTGGCAAAAATAAAAAAGTATGTAATATATTTCTTTCCTTGACACTGAATATATTACATAAACAAATGGACATTTAAAATGCAATTTAGATATCATATTTTATGGTTATCAATGATGTCAAATTAAAACAGGTATTATACACTCAATGCCTAGGTTTGAAGTATTTAAAAAAGCTCAATATGTTAAATGCAGTATATCTCTAGAGAAATTAGGTATTGACTGCATGCCTCAGTGAGTAGAAAAATCTACAAAAATCTATATCACACATTGATCCAAATATTGCATTTTAACATCACTAAGAATGTAACAAATTTTAAAATAGTACGTTTAACACAGATTTAATTCTCTTTAATTATCATGGAACAAGAACAAAATATGTCAATGTTTATATATGCTAGTTTTTATGAAGAGTAAAAAATTAATGGAAGAAATATGTCCAACATATATTAGTCTAATTTTATACTAAGTGAAGTAATTCAACCACTTAAAAAATATCTTTAAGTTATACAAGAGAATTGAGTTTAGAAGAATAATTGCAATCTTTAAAAAACATATAGATATATATATAGATATGTCAGAATTCCAGGAATAGTTATCTTTCCATTTGCCTTTTGTCCATCCATCTCCACATATCTGAGTATTTTTTGGTTTTAATAACACAAGCTAATAGCCAAATGATTTTTCTTTCTTTCCCTTTCAAGTACCCTCTCTTTACATGAAGTTGAATTAGGAGCTTAGGAGACAGCTGAATAGCACCTTATACCAACTCCTTCATTATAAAAACATAATACATCAAAAATAAAAGAAAAAAAGAACCTTAGCTTTAGTTTCTGAATAACTACTATAACAAGTAGCAAAGATGAGACAATCTGCTCAACAGTCCCTATTGGGTGGCTGACTCATAAGTCAGTTTTATACTACATATTGAGTGCTTCCCTTGGTCTAATCAGACACAAATATACCTCACTTATAGCAAATGCTTTGGCAACCAGAAGTTCTACTTAATAATGATAAAACTTTTTTTTTTTTGCTCCTAGTGCTTTCTTTTGCATTATCTTCATCAATATTTATTTGATCTCATGGTTGGAATGCTATGGAAGATTTTTTTCTGAGAGACTAAACTATATAGTGATTGTACTAAAAATAGATACATGAATATTTATGAATCTGACCTTCTGCATTTACCTACAGGATTTATGGCCCTGTTTATTCTGGTTTCTAGATATGGCTAAATGATTATTTCATTTCTAATAAAATATCAAACTGAAATATTTTATTTTGGAAAATTAAATGCAGAACATTAGGAATGAACAGTATTCAAACATTTGAGGATATCTAATCTTCCATTTTATATGCCAGACTAAAACAGCATATTAAAATTTTAGCAAATATGAGTATGCAAGTCTATATAAATGTATATATGTGTATTCCTATGCATATATTGTGCACATATATATGAGTGCATCTATATCTACATGAAGATATAGATATGCCCAATAGTTTAAAGTAGATGACATTTAAAATGCATTAAGAGAATATACTACTATGCTCAGTTTGGCAGCATATATAATAAAATTGGAACGATACAGAGAAGATTAGCATGGTCCCTGCTCAAGGATGACACTCAAATTCGTGAAGCATTCCATATTTTTAAACTGTAAAAAAAAGAGAGAGAGAGAGAATATACTACTTTATAGGAATCCTGGGCAACATAGGACAAAAATGAATATTCATTCTACCAAACACTGAAAATATTTAATGTAAGTTTTTCCCTGAGTATCCATTACAGGGATATAATATCATCTTTCTTTGAGCATTCTGAGTTCAGTCTTCTCCCCAAAGACCTACAAATCCATCCAATTTGTCAACATGTATTATGACTTAATAAAGAAAAATATTTAAATGGAGTATAGAATAAAAATGTGTTCGAATCTTTCATGAAGACAGCACAATGAAAACTCCAAACCATGGAATAACTTAAGAGGACTCTCAGAATCATTGCTGCCCAAACTGGCCAGAATAACACATAACATCTCTTCTTTCCCTCTGTAGTCACAGTGGCTTCTTAGCTATTTAAATGTTCAGGACCAAAATGAATCAGTATTTAAAAAGTTTAAATAAGTGGCCCAACCATAAATTAGTATCATTACTAGCAAAACTGGACTAATGCTAATAATGTGTGATGAATTTCCAATTATAGTACCACATTAAAAAATAGTTTCAAGTTTCTAAATATTCTATCAGATATCACAAAAATAAATCTGGCAAAATTCATTGGGAGTGGAAAGTTAAAAAAAAATACAATCAATGGGCACTTGGATTCTTATGTATCTTTTTGTTGTTTTGCCCTTTGTGGTACTGAGGATTGAACCTAAGGCCTTCCTACTGAATTAGATCATAGCACTTTTTTTTTTTTTTTGAGACATGGTCCCACTAAGTTGCCCAGGCTGGGGTCAAACTTGTGATCCTCCTGACTCGGTCTCCCGAAGTACTGAGATTATAGTGTGTACCAGGACACCTCTCTTATTTAAATTCTCACTGATTTATTAACAATGTTAATGGTGAAAAATTAACAACTCTGCTCAGTTTCTGAGTGATCATTACTTTTCTACCAAAACTACTTGAAATAAATGTATTGATTTTTTTTACTCTGTTCTGGTGTGTAAAACCTAATTTCTGTTTCAGAAAAACATATCCTAAGATTCTTCCTGACAAGAAGAAGATTTACAAGTGATACACTTATTTCACTTTTTCATCAACCCACTTTAAACTTGTGTAGGTTTGAACTGCTCTGGAAAATGATCAAGACCCTCTTCGTTACATGGTCAGTGGTCCTTTTAATAGAAAAGGCAATAATATACAGTTGTTTGTGCCAACTCAAACTTGTTAGGAATTATCAGTTTAGGCCAGGTAACAGTTCTGCAACCACTAGCACATGCAAATGTCTAATTTCTTTTTAGTGGCAACGTGGTCCTTCCAAAGCTGTTTAAAAATTATTTCTTTGGTTTGGCATATTTGAAAATACTTTTATAAACAAAGTTAACAGAGACTATAATTTTGAAAGCCAAAGTTTTTCAATAATCACCTTTTTTCACTAGCATAACATTAGAACTGACTTTTTGTCTTGCTGACAGAGCAACTAAGAAAGTACAGTTGCATTGACCATATTGATTGTGAACAAAGCAACCATCACTGGGACTCAGCACCATATATTTTCAATATTGACCTTCTACTTCCTTTTCCATGGCTTCCTGGGTCGGCTATTGGATTTGGACTGTAGAGTAATAAACAGCTAAGGTTTAATTAATGGTAAATGAATACAAGACATAGGTTATGACTTTAACTAATTAGGGAATTGTTGAATTAAGTCTGCCTTGGAATGCAAGGCAGTACAATCAATATCCAATAAAAGGACTATGTATGTAATTTACCTGCAAATGTGTTTCCAATACCATCAAAGTGAGTTTAAATAAGTAAGATATATGAAAGGTGACTAGAAGAGATTTCCACAAGTTAACACTGTATATTTTCAGAAAAGTTATCCTGATTGTTGAGAGATGCTATCTACTACAGCCCTGAGAAGAGCACAATGAGAAATAGGTCCACATGTGCACCTTTATCAATCTGTGATATTCACAATGGCATAAAAATGGAGCAGTGACCTCCAAAATTTTAACATATACAAACTAGTGATTTTCTGAGCAAGATGAACATCAGGCTTTGTTTACTCAACACTCTTTTGTTCCTTCCTTACTTGTCAGAGTCCACTGTGAGAAGAAATATTCATTGGTGCAACAGGAATTCTCTACTTTTCATAAAAGTCTCACTACTGCTCTCACTCTTCAAACCGACTATATAAAGATTATTTCATACACTTTATTACTCTTGACTCTAATCATCCTTCTGAAATAAAAATAAGAAAAAGAAAGAAGAAACTCACCTACTCCCTTGTGGGCATCCAAGCTAGTAAACTCTATTGTCCCATTATGGCCTTTTCTAGGATTTTCCTGATACTGTTTGTGGTTCCCATTGGGACAATATCTGTAGGAAAGTCCATAATCTGCAAGATAAACCTAGAAGACATGAACAGACAAATGAATAATGTTTTTGTTCTCTGAAATATAACCTTTATAATTAAGCCTAAAAAACTGATGTTAAGAATAGCCTCAGATCTATATTTTATTAAACCAAATGGTGTCTTAGAATAAAATATATACAACCAGGGGCCACAATAACTAACTAAATCTTTAATTCATCATAGGCATATATTATTTCTGAGTTGACATAGATTTTTTTTTTTTAATTTTGCTTTTAAATTCTTTCTCTCCAGGTGGGGTAGCTAGACATCATAAACCACAGTATCTCCTTTTATCTATATTCACATAACTTATGAGGCTGCCTTTTTTCATAACCCTTCCCTGAAACATAAAACTATTTCAAGTAGGGAAGGGACATAAGAGAAAATGTTCTAAAAATATAAACCTAGTGTTATAAGTCTCCATTAATAGGAAGTACAAAAATAGTGAATAGACTATAAGAGGTAACAACAACAACAAAAAAACCAAACAAACAAAAAACCCGAAAGACCCCCCCCCCCAAAAAAAAAACACACATCATTTTGTCTGTATTTAAGAATGGAACAGTAATGCAAGATTTCTGGCCTTTCAGACTGACTCATATATTCACTATTATCTTTGTAAGTCAGAATTGGAAGCAGGGTCTCCAAACAGGAATACAGATTGTTAAACATCAGATAGTAATTCAAGTGAATTTTTCTCAGATTACTTTTAGAGAGGGAGAAGGAATGGAGGGGCATGGTTTTATAGATACAGTGAACACTGAAAGGAGAAATGTTTTGACTAGACATTTTTATGACATGGGGTCAGAAAATAGTACTGTAGTTCCCAAATATATATTATCATGACCCCCTCCATTCTCACAAAAAAATCTTCAAATATGTATGTGTTACTTCATGTACAGTTCTTCAAAACATAGGGATGAGAAAAGCCCCGGCCCTGATGGCTTCACTGATGAGTTCTACAAGGCATTTAGAGAGGAACTACTGCCACTACTGGTCCAACTCTTCAATGAAATTGAAAGGGAACCAATACTCCCAAATTCATTCCTGGAAGCAAGCATCACCTTGATTCCCAAAGCAGAGAAAGACCCAACCAAAAAAGAGAACTATAGGCCAATCTCACTAATGAACATAGATGCAAAAATACTTAATAAGATACTGGCAAATAGAATGTAGAAGATCATCAAGAAGATCAGACACCCTGACCAAGTTTGATTTATCCCAGGGATTCAGGGGTGGTTCAATATATGCAAATCAATGAATGTAATACACCATATTAATAGAACCAAGGGAAAAAAAATACGATCATTTCAATAGATGCAGAAAAAGCATTTGACAAACTCCAACATGCATTTATGATAAAAACTCTACAAAAAATTGGAATAGATGGTCTCTACCTCAATCTGATAAAATCCATATATGAAAAACCAATATCATACTAAATGGTCAAAAACTGAAATCCTTCACGCTAAAATCAGGAACAAGACAAGGATGTCCACTATCACAACTCCTGTTCAACATAGACTTGGAAACATTAGCCACAGCAATTAGACAAGAGAAAGAAATAAAAGGAATAAAGGTAGGAAATGAAGAAATCAAATTGTCATTATTTGCAGATGAGATGATACTCTATACAGAAGGCCCTAAAAACTCCACCAAAAGTCTTCTAGACTTAATAACAAAGTTGAGTAAAACACCTGAATACAAGGTCAACACACAAAAATCAATAGCTTTTCTGTACACAAAAAACAGACTCACTGCGAGAGAAATGGTGCAATCAATTCCTTTCACAACAGCATCCAAAAACCAGAAATACCTAGGAATCAATGTAATGAAGGAAATCAAAGACCTCTTCTCTGAAAACTATAGCACTCTGAAAAAAGAGACTGAAGATGATATCAGAAAATGGAAAGACATCCCTTGTTACTGGGTAGGAAGACTCAACATAGTGAAAATGGTCCTACTTCCAAAGCTGCTATATATTTTCAATGCAATCCCAATTGAAATCCCAGAAGTGTACTTCACAGACCTGGAGAAAACAATCCAAAAATTTATTTGGAACAAGAAGAGACCTAGAATAGCAAAAGCAATTCTAAGCAACAAAGACAAGATAGGTGGTATCACAATCCCCAACTTGAAACTATACTACAAAGCTACTGTGATAAAAACAGCATGGTACTGGCAAAGGAAAAGACCTGAGGACCAGTAGAACAGATTAGAAGAAGCAAAAACAACTCCAGACACACTCAGTCACCTCATCTTTGACAAAGGAGCCAAACACCCTCACTGGAGGAAGGAGAGCCTCTTTAATAAATAGCGCTGGAAAAATTAGATTTAACTTGCCAAAGATTAAAACTAGACCTATATCTCTCACCATGCACTAAACTAAAATTGAAATGGATTAAACATCTAAATATTAAAACAGAAACACTAAACCGGCTGGAAGAGAAGTTAGGAAGAACTCTTGAAGACATTGGTGTAGGAAAAGATTTTATGAACAAAACCTCAGTTGTCCATGAACTAGCACAAACAATCAACAAGTGGGATTTCTTCTTACTAAAAAGCTTCTGCACAGCAAGAGAAACCACCAGCAGTGTGAAGAGACAACCCACAATGCTGGAAAAAATTTTCACCAGCTGTCCCTCAGGCAAAGGTCTACTATCTGAAATCTATAAAGAATTTAAAAAACTCAGACCTCCCAAACTTAAAGACCCAATCCAAAAATGGGCATCTGAAATGAACAGACATTTCTCAGACAAAGAAGTAAAAATAGCAAATAAACATGAAAAAATGTTCAACATCACTGGTCATTTGAGAGGTGTAGATGAAAACAATGCTGAGATTCCAACTTACCCCAGAAAGAATGGCTGCCATCATGAAATCAACCAATAACAAAGGCTGGGGGCTATGGGGAAAGAGGAACTCTACTCCACTGCTGGTGGGAGTGCAGACTGCTGCAACCATTGTGGAAATCAGTATGGAGATACCTCAAAGAACTAGGACCAGAAGTCCCATTTGACCCAGCTATTCCCCTGCTGTGTATCTTCCCCAAAGAATTAAAAGAATCATACCATAATGATATATGTGCACCCATGTTCACAGCAGCACAGTTCATGATAGCTAAAACCTGGAAACAACCCAGTTGCCCATCAACTGGAGACTGGATAAAGAAAATGTGGTTTTTTAATAAAATGGAGTATTAGCCATAAAGAATGAGAAACTAGAGACATATATAGCGCTAAATGGATGCACACTGAGGTGATACTCTTAAGTGAAATAAATAGGACACATATGTAAATACTGAATTGTTGGGAGGAATGCTACATAATTCTAGGGAAAAATCATTTGAGTAGGCCTAGTTCTCCAGCCTACAGCCCAGCTAGGACATTCCAGACATAACTGCATTTTGGCCTCTGGTCACAACTGAGACCTCAGGGATCCCGGGATGCTATAATCTCCAGGACAAGACCACACCTGCAGGAGACGCCAGGGAGGAACCAAATCTTCATCTGCATAATTCCTCATTGTTCTTAGATTTCCACTGCCCCCAGCCTTTTGTTACACCTTGTTTATCCCAATGTGAAGTACTAAACTCTGTATTTCACTTGTTACTTTTGTTTCCCTATGTACTGAATAAAAGGTGCTGCAAGCTAGGAGGGCTTTAGTCTTTGCTGCCCAGAGCAGCACTGATCAAACCCAAAGCTCAGCTTCTTCTCAGTCTCATTTATCTACCTTTCCTGTAATTCGCCTTGTGCTGCCTTGGCTCGAAGGAGACTAGGACTTACTGCAGAGGTTCTGGTAACGTCCCCTTCCCCTGTTCCCTACACTGAATAGTTTCTCTAGTGTGAGAAACTGAAAGTGTAAATAAAGACTAAAAGGTATAATAGATAATGTGAAATAGGAAGAAAACTTGCAAAGAGGAAGGGGAAATGGGAGGGGCAGGAGAAAGGAAAGAAGGGAATGGAATCAATAGGAGAAAAGAAAAAATATAAATAGGGAGGGATGGAGGGGTTGAAGGGTGGCCAGGGGAATGGGGAAAAAATAAGAGCCAAGATGGATTATGTAAAGGTGCAAATTTCCAATGATGAATGTCATTATATTGTATATCTTAAATGTACCAATATAATTAATAAAAAAAAACAGGGATGTGGGCAATGCTTCAAAATGCAGTTTCAAGAAAATAAAGTATTATAACCTGCATTTTAAAATATAATATCTATTAAAAGAAAACTCAATATTTGAATATTATTAGTTCTTTAAGTTTTTAGATTTATGAAAGCTTAAGTAGGAGACATTTTGATTTATATGTTTTAAAATATAAAAAGCAGAGTTTTCTTCATTTGTTGAAGAACATAACTTGCTATACTGTCTAAAAACATATACAGTATTTCAGTTTGTCCCTCTCCCACAGATGCTGTATGTTGATGTTACCTCAGAAGTAACTGATTTTTCTAGCCTAAATAACTACACACTTCAGGCTCTGAGGTATAACTAGCTGCTTGTCTTCATTGTTTCTGATGTATTTTTCTCTTTGCTTCAAGAACAAATAGACTTCATTTTGCAAAGTAGATATCTGGAAGGGTACATATTGACAATACAGGAAACAGAATCATACTGTAATACAGCAGAGAAGTTTACTATTTTAAGGAAAGAGCTATCAAGAAGCTTTTCATCCGCTGCCTGCCTTGTAGGCAAAAGTACCCGAGATTAATCCCCTGTACAAAAAAAAAAAAAAGAAGAAGAAGAAGAAGCTTTTCATGTAGTCATTAGCCCAAAAAATAAGACCTAAATTTTAAGGAGTGTATACTATGCATCTGGTAGTATGCTCAGTGCTTTATATTCACTGACCCAAATCATCCTCACTAGAATCCCTGTAGGTAGGTAACATTATCTATATTTTATTCAGATGGGAATTCAAGCTTGATGAGGTTATGTGACTTACATAGTGAAATGGTGTCAGAATCGTATGGCAGTTATGACTTTATAGCCTTCACT